TATGCACAGCCACCTTTTTCAATAAAGGATAGCTTGTGCTATAATTGCAATAAGACATCTACCACTGATCAAATTGAAACTACAGATTACTAATGTATAGCCCACCATGTTGCTAATAAAAAGTAGGAATATTATTTTTCCTTTAAACGGCAGTTTTAAATTTTCACATATGATAGCATAAAATAGCATACCCTCCCCTACTCCTTCACTATAGAACTACATGGGCTTCCAATCAGGATTAATTGAGTTTCAAAAAGAACTTTAGATGTTAGTGTATTAAATAACATGGCATCTATTCTACATGTAGATATCGAAGTCAAGGCAGTATTTCTTACTAATAATAGCCTTAGCACTACCCATGAAGAACTATGCACAAATTCTTGTTTGATTCTCAGAATAACTCTATGAAGACTGGTACCATTTTAAGTACTATTTTTTATAAGTGGCAGTCCAAAATCAAATTCATGCAGCTATTAAGTGACACAACTGGGCTCTGAACTAAAAAAAAAAAGCTAAAGCTAAAGCTAAAGTTCGTACTTGTATGAAATACTACTGCACTTTACAACACTTTAAACCCAAACTAGTACTATATTGCTTTTGGGCAGTTATACATTTACAGAAGGGTAGTGAAATTGCATTTAAAGCCAATAAAATGGGCTTGCAATTTTAATAAAACTGCTACATTCTAAATTACGCCAAAGAACTCAGAAGCATTTTAGAAACTGCTAATGCAAATGGAACAAGAGTGCTCACTTCAGCAGCACATATACAAATGGAACAAGATAAAATATAATTTTCCGGCTATTTTAGTATTTTTCACTTTTTGTTCAGTAACTAATTTAAGGTGCTTCTGGATATTGATTTAGTGTGCTCTTTTAATCTGAGAATTCCTAGCTTTTAGCAATTATAAAAGATTCCCTATCATTTCCCTTAAAATACTGCCTCTCCCAATTCCATCTTTTTCTATATCTATATCTATATCTATATCTATATCTATATATTTTACATGATAAATGTTCTCATTCCAGGCTGTGTATCATATATCTCTCTCAGATTTTCCATTACTCTTTATATGATTTAACTTGCACTTTGATTTGCTGATTAACCTCCTCAGTGAGTTTTTCAATGACTCCTATCTGAAGAGCTGAATTTAAATCTTCAAATCTTTGTATTTGTCAGGCTTATTTCTTTCCTTGTTTCCTATTCATCGTTTAAAAATTTTAATGATTTGAAAAATAAACACATTTACAGTCATTCTAAAGTTCTTGAGGGTAGTGACCCTAATTATATTCTTTGACTCTCATTCATTCTATAGTATTTTTTCATTACAAGTTAACCTTTCATGAAGACTGTACTTTTCTACAGGAATTCTACATGGATTTTGTTTCTATCAAACTCGTGATATTACCATGTTTAGATTTCTATAATACAGTATTAGGCAATTTCCATTGCCTTTACTTTTACACCATGAACAAGAATCAATTTGTAATACAGAGAGTAACTTCACTTCAGTGCTACTTTATAATGTAATGTTCATTAAGTCAGCTTTCTTGGTTGCTAGCTTTTTGAGACAGGGTGGCTTCAAAATCACAGCAATCCTCTTGCTTTAGCCTCCTAAGTGCTAGAATTCCAGGCTTGCACCACCACATGGGGGACTCTATTAAGTCATTTAAAACCACAACTGGAGATTTAAATCTAAATTAAAACTCAACCAAAGAAACTATCAATCCAAAAAATTAATGGCTATGTCAAAACAGGGCCAGGGAAATAGCTCAGGGACTTAAGCACCTGACTGGCCAGCACAAGGTACTTGATCCCCAGTACCAAAAAAAAGAAAAAAAGATATGTCAAAACATATTAACAGAAATCTTCCACAAATCCATACATGTTCAGGCAATTGTAACAATCTTCTTCAGGATGCTACTTGGTGGTTGTAAATATTTTGTTTCCGTGTTTTGGTGCTATCCTGGGCCTTGTATATACTAAGAAAGTGTTCCGAATTAACCACACTGTATGTATGTATGTATATGTGTATGTATTTATTTTTTCTCCCCATCCCATATGTATTTATTTAAACTTCAATGTGTAAGAGACATGCTAACTTTACAAAAAGTGCTGAACTGAGAAAGTATTTACAACATGTGTTGGGGAGAAATCTTTAAAACAAGAAAATGTAGTGTGCAAGGCATAAAGCAAATGTATACCTTAAAATTGAACCTCAAATGCCTGGGAGACCAGATTATACCTACCAATGGGGAAAACATATTGATGCAAGTATGCTAACGGGAATTCACATCATTAGAAGGCTGCATAAAAATCACTAAGATAGTCTCCTAAGGAAGTGCAGAAGTTGGGGTGCTTTCCTTCACTTTTATTGGACAATAAGTTATCTTTCAATCAACTATGTTTACTTTCATAATTAATAGCCACATCTTGCTCTGTCCAGAGTTAGTATACTTCTGATGATTCTAAATAGCCGCTCTGTGAGTGTGTGTGTCACACACACACACACACACACACACACACTTAAAAGACAATTATTTGAAATCGTACCACTTCTGGGTGCACATAGCACACATAAAATACTAAAGGCAAATAAATTAAAATTTTCTTAAATACAAAATTCCCTTTTAATCAAAGAATTTCTAAAATGTTATGGTTTGTGTCTAGATATACTCCCAAAGCCTCATGCAGTCAAGGTTTATTTCAGAGATGGCTGAATGTGTGTAATGCTGGGATTAAGATTATATGATTAGTAAATCAATACACAGATTGTTTTGGAATAGTTCTGGCTAGGATTAAGGGCATGAGTGCTACACCTGCCCTAGAGTGGGGAGTCAGCACAGAATATAAGAGACAGTCTTGTCTGAAGCCCTTGTTGCTTTTGCTGTCTTCTGCTGCCATGAATGGGAGGTCCCTCTGCCGTGTGCCATCCTGACTTGGAGCCAGCAAATGAAGGACTGGAACCTCTTTTACAAATTGTGACCTAAATAAACCTTTCCTCCCTTAACTTTGGGCATTGGGTATTTTTTTCTCACCAACCAGAAAAGTAACTAAAACAAAAACTGAATTGAACTTTGTATTGTATAAAATACAGTCATCCAATGTATTTTGAAGGTAAATAAAACAGAGAATATGAACTTGCTAATAATATTTTTTGAAGCATTTTTGAAGATGGCAAACAAGGAAATGAGGACAGACTACAAACTTACAAAATTTACACTAGGTTCACAGCCTACACAAGGAATTACTAGGTCCATAGATAAAACAATGAAGCATATGAAAGGGAAAATGGGTGAATGGGCAGTCCCTGACTTGACTGAAGGGCACACTTTATTCCTGAACAATCATGTGGCTTTCTAAACTTTCTCTCCCTACCAAAATACTACCTGCAAGGGACAACACTAAATGCTACATTACTCAACTGCATTTGGGATTGAATGCAGGCCCTTGTGCTTGCCAGGGAAGTGTTTATTCCACTGAGCCATCTCCCCAACCCCTCAATAGATATTTTTTAATTCAGCCAAATTTTTAATTGACTTTATACGGGTACTCTTTCTACTCAATTTAGAGGGTTTTTTGTTTGTTTGTTTTTTGGCAGAATGGGGGACTGAACTCAGACCCTTTTGCTTGCCAGGCAAGTGTTTATTCTGCTGAGCCATCTCCCCAGCCCCAAACACAGTGAAATTCTTTTCTTTTTTTTGTAGAACCAGGGATTGAACTCAGGCCCTTGCACTTGCCAGGCAAGTGCTTATTCTACTGAGCCATCTCCCCGGCCCTCAATTTATATCTAACTTAATTTAACATCTAGAAATCTGTAATTTCTCTTAAATTTTGTTTTCTGTTTTCTCTTTTTATTAGTGTGTTTGTGATATATAATACATTCATTGTAAGAAATGGATATATCTCATATCTTTATTTCTTTTTATTGCCTGTTCCTATTTATAATTTTTTTTTGGGGGGAGGGAATTTCACTCCTCGTTTTTTTCTATTTATTTGTCAGAAGAGAAATATTTAATTTTTTTTTCAATTTTGTTTTCAAAGTGTACCAAGGGTATACCAAGTCCTAAATATCTAGAAATGTTTTTCAGGGAAGATTGGCATAGCCCAAAGCAGTAGACCTAACCAAACTAGCAGTTAGCCCCATAGTTCCAAAATAAAATTTGCATTTGTGGGAAGAAAGACACACATGAATGGCACAGATAGAATTTTGGTTGTTCACATTTTTCTCTTCCTCCACCATCCTTCTATTTACTGTATTTTCTGAATATACTTTTGTTTTCTATCTCTAAATATTTACCATTATTATATACTCCTAAGCAAAAAAAAAATTATGATTTCAACCATGCATGTTGATTTTTGGAAATGAGTCATTACAAACAATACTTTTTTGTAGGCCTGATCTAAAATATCTTATTTCAGTGTCGCATTTCTCAAAGTGTGGTCCAAAGAATCTCCTGGAGTAAAGAAGTATGGGAAGTCTTTTTAAGAGTCTCTTAATTTAACAAGGTCTAAAAATTTTTATAGTAACACCAAGCCATCATTTGTCTTTTTCATTCCAATCCTCTGCAGTGTAAGAGTAGGATTTCCCAGGGAATATGTGACAGGTCATATCTCAACGAGCAGAATACAGAAAAGATTGGAGCACTATCTGTCACTGAGTCAGATACTTAAGAATTTGCAAAAATATGACAAGCCATTCTTGTCACTAAATATTTTTTGTTTTACAAAGTAACTATTTTTCACTTAAAAATTGTGTCAATAAGACATCTATATTTAAATTAAGTAAAATTTTAATTCTTAATAAATATTGATAGATATAATCTAATGAACAAAAGCTCTTTCAATTCCTCAATAATTTTCAAAAAGTGTTTTTAAAAGGTGTAGAGACCAGAGTTTTAGAACAAATGCTTTAACACTAAGAAACATTTAAATTATGAAAATCCACAAAATGTAATAAGGTAATTATAATTTAAAACATTTTAAAGAGTTGGACTTACCATTATAGGTTATTCTTGGCTTTGTTAAACACATCACAAGATGCAAATCCATTTCATCTGAGGGTACAAATTTTGAGCATACAGGGCACTTAAATCCTAAAAAATGTAAAAGAAACCCAGGTTATTCAACTCTTCAGAATATCTAACTGAGTTTTAAAAAGCATAGAAGACCAAAAACTTTTTAAACTTCATTATTATGCTTACAGTAATGAATTACAATACTTAATATGCAATTCAAATTGGGAAAAAATTATGACTATAATAAAAAGTTTAAATCCATTTATGAAGATCATCCCATCATCAAAACAAGTCTGAATGGGAAGGGCAAACTCTAGTACAAAACTCCTGTGTCTCTTCTCAATGTACAGCCAGTCATTCTCCTTTGTAATGTTTTACATTTACCTATACATATGATTTTATGTAATACTAACTTTCTATTCTTACATTTCTTGCAGAAATTACCTTTCTCAACTTGGTATGATATACTCTAAGTCCAAAGTTTTATAGCTACACAGTACCTTAGAATGTATTCTATCTAACCAATATTTTAAAAATTTATCTTTTTTTTTTTTTTGGTGGAACCAGGGATTGAACTCAGGCCCTCAAACTTGCCAGGGAAGCGCTTATTCCACTAAGCCATCTCCCTGGCCCCTTAAAAATTTATATTGCAAAGACAGTGGAAGCTGCCAGACATGGTGGCCCATGTCTCAAATCCCAGCACACTGGATACTGAGGCAGGAGGAACATTGTGAGACCAGCCTGAGCTACAAAGTGAGTTGAAGACCAGCCTGAACTGAATAGGGAAAACCAGTCTTAAAATTCAAGATTCCTGGTGTTTACATTTCTTTTTTATTGGGGGGAGGAGGGGAACCAGGAATCAAACGCATGACCTTGTGCTTGCCAGGCAGGTGCTGTACTGCTGAGCTATATCCCCAGGCCTTGTGTTTGTTTACATCTCTGGTTGCTATGATTTGGATATGGTTTCAGTTTGTTCTCCAAGAGGATATGAGTTGGAAGCTTTATCTCTAATTTGGTAGTGGTGAGCCAGTGGGACCTGTAGGAGGTGGGTCCTAATGGGAGATTAGGTGTTGGGGGTATATATATATATATATATATATATATATATGCCTGCTAGAGAGATAAAGTATCTCTCATGGGACTCTGGAACTATAGGGATAGTTCTCAGGAAAGCAAGTTATAAAACCCTAAGCCCAAACCCTTCTCTACCTTCTTGTCTGGCAATGTGATCTACTGGCCCTGCAGATGCTCCTGTTACTACAGTGCTATCAACCAGGCCACGCTCAGACTGATGCTTGTGTCATGTCCTTGAACTTCCAGAACTGAGAGCTAAGAAATTTTTCTTATAAAGTTGTCCAACATTGGGAATTTTACTATAGAAACAAAACTATGATTAATGTAATGATTTCTCTGCTACAATACATTACTAAAGTCAAAATGCAAACAGAAAATAGCTCCCAATCAAGGCAAGTTTTGCAGTCAACTTCAACACTTGCTAAGCAACCCTGCTCTGCTACATCAGTCATGATGTTTCTGCCTTGGAGCCAGCCCAACAGGTGCTGAATTTCCTGAAACTATGAGCCAAATAAACTTTTAATTTGGGAATGTCTGAGATTTTGGTCACAGGAATGAAAAGCTCATTAATACATTGGGACTTATCTAAACTGAAAATACACATACATACTATAATCATCAAGCACAGACTACATCAAATAGGAAATTTGATCAACCAGAAAGAAGACAAATCCACAAAGAAGTAACTAGATTTCAAGACCAACTAATAAAATCCTTTCTTTGGAGAAAAAAAATTGCTTCACTGAGGACAAATAAGGAGATTCAAAAGGAGAAAGACATGGCCAATTTATAGCTACTGATGAGGACCATCTGAGTACTGGCACATAATGCTTATTTAAACAAACGAAAGACTGTGAATCTAAAAAGCTTGAGAGCCACTGACTCAACCATAAAATAGGAGCTATGGAAAAATAACAGTACTTACAGAGTACCATCTGGATTTCTAATTCAATACTGTAGATTAAACACATGTTCTTGACTTTCCCCAAACCCACTAAAATGAGAATGAAAATTTTCAAAATATGACATAAAGAACCTGAGAACACACACTTACAATATTTAAATGACAATGGAATACCCTTCTCTGACAAAACTAAACGACCATTTTGTATCTGTAAATTCAAAATAGGATAGATACACAGCTGCATTCTCTTAATTCAATCAGAGATTTGTTCTAATAGTGTTTGTGGACAGGATATCATGTCTGCATCTTGTACAATGAATAACCACTAAGACAACAATATGCAAT